GGACATAAAATTCAACTTTGGGTAAAACCGACAAAACCCTAAAACTTAAGGGTTTTTATGACATTAGCCCTATCAAATATTTTTAAACCAAAATTACAATTTGTTGACAACCTCAAGTACCATTTTTACAATCTTGTCAAAGTCTAAACTACATTTTATTTGTCCTTTAATGCCTACCCACATGTTTTTTGTTTTATTTTCATAGACTTTATTAATTATACGTACACAATTTTGATCTTATCGCATCATAACGAACTTTTTGATTCCAGTGATGATTAAACAAACAACTTTTCATATAAAAAAAATCACTTGGTGACCACGTTTTAATAAAAAAAATGTCAGAAATGTATCGCTTGACTTATTATATAAGTTAATAAAATACTTATCTATTAAGTTATCATCTAAAAGTATTATATTCAAGGAACTTTAGTCTAACCGTAAAGAATGACTTTTCAAATAAGAGGTTATGAGTTCAAGTCTTCTATGAGACATAAATATTATTTAGAAGTAGCTTCGTAGGTTTCCCGTTTGAAAAAATAAAAATAAAAGAATTATAAACAAAAATCAAAATTATCATTTAAATTCACGATGAAAAATAAATTAGATATTAGAAAATGCAAAATATATACGAAGATTGGAGTATTGGATAAACCCACACTTAGAGAATTACTTCATGAGTTATATCACGAGTAATTATGAGACGATAACATCATATATTCTTGAAATGAACAAAAATCAAAATTATCATTTAAATTCATTAGAAAATGCAAAATATATACGAAGATTTGAGTATTGGATAAACCCACATTTAGAGAATTACTTCATGGGTTATATCACGGGTAATTTTGAGACGATAACATCTTATATTATTGAAATGGAGATATATGAGTTGTAATTTACAAGTCGATTGTGAATTGGTGTTATGTAAACGCATCAGTAACGTGATGTTATAAAACGTAGTGTCATGTATGATTTGGTGAGTAAAAAGATACAATCATATGAGTCGAAATTTATTCGTTCCTTTTGCCCTAATGGGAAAAGCGATATCTTTGGGCCCCTTGGTGATTTGATGTTGGCATTGTAGTGTTGGCCCAACCAGGACTAAATTGATGTGTTCAATTAGTAGTCTTATAAGGTCATCACAAATCGGGAAATCAGGAAATAAAATTTTGGACAAGAGATTGATTGTACTCCATGTCTCATGTCCATACGATATCTTGCAGAACGAATGAATATTTTGTCACTTATCTTAGGACCGATATCCGATCAGATCAGAGTATGGAGTTGCTTTGGAAAGCATATTTTGATGTTTGATTTAGAAGTTATACTTGCAATTGTAGTTATAGACTTATCCATGTGAGAGACTGTTGTATTAAGTGTCTAAGCCAATAACTAAATTGATATATACTTGAATTAAAAGCAAAGTCTTTTTGGGTTGTCGTCAAAACTAGTAATTAACAGAATGACTTTTGGAGAGAGAGGTTGATTTATTGGTTTATTATAAGATTAATAAATAGAAATAAATAATTTATTAATATATTATGAGGTTAATATATTAATTAGAAATAATATTATTTAATTAATAATTAATCAGAAATTAATTGGAATTAATTTTGGGATTAATTGAATTAATTAAAAGAGCACCTAAGTTGTAACTGTTTAATAGTTGAACGGAAAAATGATTCTGGAATATTATAGGGATGGTCGAAAGTCTCCTTAGGTTTCTAGATTAACCCTTAAGGATAATTAGGAATGTGGATAATTACCTAATTTGAAATAATATTATTATATTCAAATTAGGGTTTCCAGGGTTTCATTGTTCAACTATATAAGGAGCCTTAGACCTCATATTTTCGGCGACTCTTTTCGCAAGAAGAAAAACCGAAAATTCCATCCTCCCTCCTTCCTCATCTCAAGTCTTCTATTGCTAGGGTTTGGGTACAAACCATTAGAGGCACGAGATTTCTGGTGCTTGCTTTCTGAAGCTTGTTCAAGAAGGCATTGTTGATTTACAATAATCAAAAGATATGTAAACCCTAAAACCCTTTATGAATTTCGATTATAGTAGGGTATTTCTAGGGTTCTTGATGTTCAATTGTTTGTTCCAATCAATAGAGAAAACTTAGATCCAATAGGTTGCATGTGAACTTAGGGTTGAGTTTTTCCGCCACATATTTTTTTGTAACCTATAAAACCTATCAATTTTTTTACTAAAACGTGAAATCAAATTAAGAATGATAAACCATGTGTGACATCTAAATGTCCATGATGAGAACGCTTCAAGGCTCATTACATGAGAGGTGAATCATAGAACACTAACAATATTTTAGGTGTGCTAAATTTTAAACCCTAGACCCCATGTGTGAAATTTCATACATAAACTATTAGACTATAATCACAAGTTAAAAACTTTATCAATAGGTAGAAAGGTAGTTGGGAAGCAAAAATGTTATCAATAAGCGATCACAATACACTTTTGAAAACCGTGTTTGGGGGGGGGGGGTTGGGATTAACTTTATGTCCATTTTTAAAAGCTACCAATATAGTGACCAAGTTATTGGAAAAAAATGAGATGTAGATTTTCTATGAAAGAAAAATGAGTCAGATAAAGTTAGATAAGTGATAATGTCCAAGGAGAAAATGAAATTGGTAACGACGATGGGACAAAATTTAGGGAGGAAGTTTGAATTGGAAACACCAGTTAAGATCTAAATTTTCAGTATTATTTTTGTTAGATATTGAAAAAATGGTTTTCTATGTGATCGATTTAATGATGTAACTAGGAGTTGAAATTGGCGTCAAAACGTAAGAGGGGGAGCGGAGGAGATACAAAATTTGAGTTTGATGAACTTGTTGTGCTCTTTTGTTTGTAATACGACCCCAAATAGGTGGTCGTAGGTACTTAGCATGACGGGGGATTTCACAGTTAGCTTTGCTATACAACATATGGAAGACATCAAGCTACATATAGGAATCGATTCCATAAAAATGAATAGGTTAATACCTAAAACAATCAATAATTTAGCTTGGACAATTTTGACTAACCGTCTTCCAACTAGAGATAAATTAGTGAATAGGGCGGTAGATTTTGTGTTGATATTATGCCTGGTTTGTCATAATTAGGTGGAAAAAAACAACTCATGTTTTTATTGATTGTGATTTGTTCCATTTCTACTTGGTTGATAATTAACTGGTTGTCAGTGTGACACTCCAGTTCCTCATATTTATTCAGTTCAACATTGGTTCTCTTGGTTGGATGCGGTTAAAGAGACATTGAATCAACGATCTTGCTTGAAAGTGGCAATGTTAATAACTTTTTGGGTGATATGGACTTTTGGAACTCCGTAGTATTTGGTGAGCAAAAGCAAAGGAAATATACTATTTTGATAGAATTGTGATCGTTTTCTCTTTTAATTTGTTGGTGCATTGAAATTCTAAAGTGAAAGTTAATTGGAGGTCATTGTTACAAAACCCTATATTTGCTATTATTTCCTTTTATATTTTGCTTATTTTCTAGTATCTTGCTAGTAATAAATAAGATTCATATGTTCAAAAATGAAAATAATGGTATTTTAAAAAAAAAATATTGCTAGACTAGATATGTCTTATTTGCAGGATGGAAAACCAATCGGTGTGACCTTCATCCAATAAAAAATACCCAAATACCTTGACGAATGAATGCGTGTTGATTGTGCAAAAGAAGCATACATATCATTTACGTTACAAGAAAGATGTGTCCAACACATGCCATGAAGCCGCATATAAATGTATGTTTATGTATGTTTATTGATTTTCTATTACTTTTGTAATAATAATTTACTTGTAATTATTACTCATGAGTGTCATCAAACATTTTAGCTAATTGAGGTTTACACGAGTATGAAAGATATTTATGTTATGCAAAAATACAAGTTAGTAGATGTGTAGGTTTTAAATATCAATGTCTTGGATAATTTTCGGGATTGTACTAGAAAAACTTTTTGAAATATGAAATTCGACCCTATAGCCCGTGGTTGCATGAATTCAGACTTGGGATAATCTAAGAAATCAATATGGATTTCAGGAAAATCCAAGATTGCTAAATAGCAAACACATAATACATTTGATTTATTTCGTGTTCTTTGAGACAATAATTCGGTAGAGTAACAATGTAATTTTCGTATAACTCTTTGCAGAACTAAACATCTCTATATGTAGAGAAGAAGAAGAAAGTTAGATTAAGTAAATTTTGGAGCAAAAAAAGAACAACTGTTCCCAACATTTGCACCGGTTCATTTATTTAGTGGGACCGTTGTCCTGCCCCCCGTGTTTCCGGTATCACTTTGATTTATCCAAACATGTACTCTGTATCTCTCAAACTCGTATAATAGATAAAGTTGAACTTAACTTATCTCAAATTAATCTCAATTATATTAAATTAAATGATAGAAACTAAAATTACCCATAACATGGATTGTAAAAACAAAGATGTACTGCTATCAAGCATATAACTACCATCAATGATATTGGTCCATTTTGATGGGACCACTCATATATATGCATAACTTTATCATGGGTTCTCTCTTACAATGTAATCTTAAAAAAAACAAGCCATAGGAATTTAGTGATCGACTTCTTAGTTTTGTCCTTATGGAAAATGTCTAAATAAAAAGTAACATCTAAGTTTTAATTATAAAAAAAATACCCTGTATAAAAAATGGCCTAACAATAATTCTTTTTTCATTTCATCAATCATTAGTATATTTTGTTAATATTCTGCTGAAAAATAAAATGATTATAGTAATATGGTACATTGGTAAATAAAACCAAATCGATTAATAAAATATTACCTATTCAAACTAAAATCCATGATAAACAATTATCAAAACTTCAGGGTACAAAATAATATCAGTTAAAACTTTTGGACTAGTGATGTAATTTCTCTTATTAGTTTCAAAATCTTCACGAACACATATTATTTATTTTTGGGAGTGGGGGCATATATGCAGTTATACACAATATATTTTATATGTTTATATATACACACACATCTACATGTGTTAAGTCTATTCTAAAGTGTTTGAAGATTGATTTCCCTTCCACTGATTCAGATTTGACTGCGAGGTTTGCTTCTTTCGCTAATTTAATTCAATTCGTTAATTTATGGTTTCGTTTTCGGATTTTAATCACCGTGTGATCATGATATCGTTGAATTTCTTCTCTTTCATTGGTTCATGTTATTGGCTATAAACAGTACTTCAATTAGCTCTGTTTATGGTTATGTAATGTCCTAATGATATAGGAACGTTGAAACTCTTAGAACGTGAGAGTTAGTTTGAAGAAGCTCAATTTGAATACTTAGGGTTTTGGATTTCGTGAGCTTTTCACTTTGAAGTTTGATTCGTTTCTGTGATCTAAGTAAAAACTGCTTGACGAAAATCTGGGAAAAAGGCATGGTAGTAATGTTTTAGAGGTTGATGTCGTGGCAAATTATGCCTGGATTGAAAGCAGACTCTAGGGCTTGTAAGTATGTTAAAATATGGCACCTATGTTTTGGGAACTGTGTCTTCATCTGTGTGATAGGAATAAACTGTAAAAGCGTTGAGGAGCAAGAAAATCTATAAAGGGGGCATGAAATCTACAAATTGATTCGAATTTTTTCTTTTTAGCCTAAAATTATTGAAACTTTTGGCAGAAAATCTAGAAAAGGAGGGGTGTGGGGTGGGGGTGGGGGTGTATGGCATCTGCTAGCTTCCTCCCTGGCTCTGTTAATAAAAGTATTTTCTGATGGTTTTTTTGGGTATCTGAAATCATCTGTGTTTGTTATGATGTGCTTTTTCTTTTATGGCTGATGCTTAATTCTAGTCTTTGAATGATTATTTCTCAAATTTGTATTTTACCTGTCAATGCAACTACATAACTTTAGCCCCAATTAGACCATGAACCCCATATGAGTAGTGACTAATATACAAGCTAGTGCACAGAACTTGTTCATATACATGTATATATGTTTAGATATCAGGTCACTGTTATCATAAAAGGGGACTTGATGTGAGATAAGTGATTGAGGGTATCACATATAATCAATGCAATTCAGCAATTCTTATTCTCAACTTCAAATGCAATGTGTTTGTATTTTATCTTTTTACTTCTTGTGTAATAGTATCATCTATCAACACTATTATCTTTACAAATCTTTTGGCAATACTAGATGCAGAAAGAATATCAGCATGTATTTTGATCTCATGCGTGTGTGTGTGTGTGTTTATTTTTAGGTTTATTAAGTACCCATTGTGGTTGTGGGACCATGATAAAGGAGAATGGTAGTAATGTCCAAGTTACACATGGTGGAAGGATTCGGCGTCGTAAAGGTTCAAATGAGGTAACCATGCAACTATAATTGACTAATGATTTAAATTATATAATTACATTTACAATTCATAACAAGTAAGTGTCTTGCTCCTTTTTCCTCATTAAGTCCTGTATGGATAAAGTGGCTGAATGGGTAATGATGTTTGTCTGGATAGAGTGCTTGTCCATATAAAGTATGTTTCTTTTCAAGAATGAATAAGCCATTTGAACTAGACTAAATGACCCTTTTATCCTTACATTACAAACATGTAAAGGGTTAGTGTCTTAATACATTAAAAGGCAATTTTTTTTTTGGCTTAACCCATTAAGTCATTCTATCCAGATTGAGTAAGAAAACAACCATATATAGCTGTCAAGATTAAGTGCTCAACTCATTAAGCCCATTAAGTAAAAAAGAAACAGGCTCCAAGACTTATATAAAAGTTATAGATTTTGAGGGTTTATCTGTAAAAATATCAGGTTCCAGGTGATGTAGGCCAATCGAATGGAAACAACCACTTGCTTGTAAATGATCAAAATAAGTACAGATCAATGTTGATTCGTGCTTATTCAAGTATCTGGATGATTGGTGGTTTTATATTTGTTGTCTACATGGGGCATCTTTATATATGGGCCATGGTTGTCATTATACAAATCTTTATGGCAAAAGAGCTCTTTGGGTTACTAAGAAAAGTAAACGAAGACAAACAGCTCCCAGGATTTAGGCATTTAAATTGGTAAGAAAAATACTTCATTTTAATTTTTGACAAAACCCATATTTTTATTCTATGTAAAGATTCAAGATTATCAATTCTTACTTGTTATTTATTTTCAGGCATTTTTTCTTCACAGCGATGCTATTTGTATATGGTCGAATACTTAGTCAACGCCTGGTCAATACTGTCACAACAGACAAGTTTTTATATAAAATAGTGGGAAATCTTATCAAATATCATATGGTTACCTGTTATTTCCTTTATATAGCAGGTTGGTGTTGTAATTATTATCAGGAAATTTACTGGAAAAACCATTATATTTTGGGCAATTTGGTGGTTCAACTACTTTTACTTTTTTTTCTCAATCAAGTTTTTTTATAACATGTCAAAATGGTTAGTTTGGAAATTATAAAACCTGATATAACAAAGTCAAAGAGTTTAATTTGGAAGAAAGGTCTGAATCTTGTATGGTTTTATTGGAAAAAGTTAAGTATTAGTGGTTAAACCGCAAAATTACCCAAAATGTAATGTTTTTTTTTTTTTTTTTTTTTTTTTTTTTTTTTTTTTGTAAATTTGGTCAAAACTATTTTATTTATTTGTTCACTAAAAGTTGATGTATATGTTGTTGGTTTAGGTTTTGTGTGGTTCATTCTGTCACTAAAGAAAAAGATGTACAAGTATCAGTTTGGGCAATATGCATGGACACATATGATCCTTATTGTGGTTTTCACACAGTCATCTTTCACAGTAGCCAATATTTTCGAAGGGATATTCTGGTAATTTTATTTTAGTATATTAATGTTGTCATATGAGTTAAGATCCAACTTTCTTACATAGATAATCAGAATGAATAAATTAAATTGTGACACAGGTTCCTCCTTCCTGCATCATTGATTGTGATCAATGACATTGCTGCTTATTTTTTTGGATTTTTCTTTGGAAAAACACCTTTGATTAAGTTATCACCAAAGAAGACATGGGAGGGATTTATTGGAGCTTCTGTTACAACAATTATATCTGCCTTTGTGGTGAGCAAATTCTCCTTTAAATTGTGGAATACATTTACTGTTATTATGTAATTTGAAATGATGACATTTTGTGTACCCTTTTGTTATGTGCAGCTTGCTAATTTTATGGGTCGTTTCCATTGGTTAACATGTCCCAGAAAGGTAGCTTAATTTATTTGTAAATCACTTTTTGTTTTAAAAAGTATATTGTTTGGTATGTGATGGAATCAGGGATGTAATGAAAAAAAAAACTTGTTTGTTTTGCCTGATGGGATGGAATGGACCATTCCATAAGGAATGTGATTCCTTTCATTTTGTTAATTTTGATTCAGGTGTGTTCTTTTTCATTCCATCATGGAATGGAATGCAAAATTGCAACATAATACATTTTTATCTGTGTAATTTTTAATGACACAGAACAAAAAAATAATTCCATTGCAGCATACATTCCATTCCGTCCAACTCCAACCAAACACACCCTAATTATTATTATTATTATTATATTATTATTATTATTATTATTATTATTATTATTGTTATTCAACACATTGATTTTATAAATCGTTGTGCAGGACCTATCAACTGGTTGGCTCCAGTGTGACCCTGGCCCACTTTTTACACCAGAGACCTTCATTTTACCTGGATGGCTTCCTGAATGGGTAACATAAACATGAATAGAATTACCAATTCCATTCCTTCATTTCATGAAAAGTTTTTCCATCATTTACACAAATGAGAGAGGATCACAACATTGAACAAAGATCAAATTCCTTCATTAACGGAATTTCTGAAACCAAAACACCGGAATGGAATTGATTTTTTTTTCTTTACCCTTTTCAGTTTCCATGGACAGAGATGCAAGTTCTACCAGTGCAATGGCACGCATTGGGACTTGGACTTTTTGCTTCAATTATTGCACCTTTCGGTGGCTTCTTCGCTAGTGGTTTCAAAAGAGCCTTCAAGATCAAGGTCCATAATCTCTACATTTATTTTTTTAAAAAAAAATTCAAACCATATTATATTATTATTTGTAATTACCTAATTTAATTTATTCTCTTCATTTGTTATAGGATTTCGGGGACAGCATTCCTGGACATGGTGGAATGACAGACAGAATGGATTGTCAAGTACGTCCCATTAAAAATTCAAAACATTTCTTTATTTCCATTTTTATTTATTTATTTTTAATGTTAAATGCAAGAAAAGAAATAACAACTTACTTTGATTTACTCATGCAGATGGTGATGGCTGTCTTTGCATACATCTACCATCAGTCATTTATTGTAGCTCAAAGCGTATCAGTTGGGATGATTTTTGACCAGGTATATATATATATATATATATATATATATATATATATATAAAATAATTTGTATTAAAATAATTATTGTACTAATGTAAATATTTGTATTCAGATTGTGATGAATCTGTCATACGAGGAGCAAAGGGTGTTGTACAATAACCTAGGACAAATACTACAAGACAGGCAGTTTGGTGAATCTTGAAGAAGATAACAATTACATTTTTGATTTGTACTATGTTTGACTTTTGTTATGATCGTTTTTTGTGGTATTGCATCATATCATACAATACATATATATGCACATGTGTATAGTGGTTGGTTGCTCTATCCCTTCTTTAAAAAAATGTAGATGGAAATGGAATCAAACAAACACACATGTATCCATCCATTATTTTTGTATCATTTTCAACTTTTCTTACTTTCTCTTTTTAAATTTATAAATTATCAATCAATGTAAAAAATTATTATCTTTTTTTAACTAATGACCTTTTTCATTTTAGCTATTGTTTATTTGACTCACTGAGTCAGTCAATTACATAAATCATCCATATTTGAAATCATTCTACATGTAAAAAACCACCAATTCATAGTTAGGTTTCAACGAGGCATTCCAACATTTTATTCCCGTCTTCTACTACCCTAACAACACACTCAACTACACAATTCCAAGCAAAATAATCAGGAACAATTCCCTTTTCCACCATCTCCATAAACAACATCAACCCCTTATGCAAATCCCCTCTCTTACAATACCCATCAATCAAAGGACTATAACTACCCGAATCCACCACCCAACCTCTTCCAACCATATCCTCCAAAAATAGCATCGCACTTCCAACTTTACCCTCACCACAAAGCCCATTAATCAAATCCCCAATAATCAAAACATCAGGAACATAACCACATGACACCATCACATCCACAATCTCAAAAGCATCTCTCACCATGTTTTCTTCACAAAACCCTCGAATCAAACTTATATAAACAAGAACACTTGGGACTCCACCTTTTAGAATCATCTCATCGTATATCTTTTTCGCATTTCCCATTCTACCCTCCTTGCAAAATGTTAATATCTGTTTGCTTCTATCAACACTTCTCGGAAATTTTGTCCCCATCTTGGTTAAAAAGTCAAGAGCCGAGTCAACTCGGTTCGCTTTATAGAAACCATATATGATGCTGTTATAAGGACTTATATGATTTGAAGAACCACTTTTACTATCCTCCATTACTTCCAAGATCTTATGCCCATCTTCTACCCTTCCTTTTGAACAAAACCCGCGAATTAAAATATCAAATGTATCAAAATTCCAAATGACCCCGACCCTTTTCATCTCATGAAACATATCAAGAGCCGAATCGAACAAACCCAACTCACAAAATCCATATATTAAAGAATTATAAGTGTCTGCATTTGGAAGAATACCCTTCAACTCCATCTCCTTTAAAAACCTATGTGCAGCCTTTGGTTTCTTGATTTTACAGAAACCCTTCACAAGAGTGTTGTAAGCCACCACATCAATCTTGCCACCTTTCTTCTCTACCCTTTCTAAAACCTCCACTGCTTCCATGGCACGATTCTTGTTACATAAAAGTTCCATTATTTTGGTTATTGCGATGACATCAGGGACAAATCCAAGATTGAAACATTTTTCTAACATGACAAGTGCTTGAATTATGTTATCTTCTTTACAGTATGCGGTTATTAAGATATTGAAAGTGACACTGTTTGGATTTACTATCTCTTTCATCAAACTCCTGGCCCTTCCTACCCCAAGTTTCCCATTCTTGCAAAGAGCATGGAGTAAGGTGTTGTATATGACAGTGTTTGGGGGGATACTGTTTTTCTTCATGAATTGTAAAAGCTTAAAAGCATCTGATATGCGATTTGTCATGCAAAGTCCCTTTGTTAAGATCCCGAAAGTGTACATATCACCTTTAACACCACAAGCCATCATCTTGTGTCTGTAAAAGCCTCTGGCTATGTCAATATCTTCCTTGACAAGAACATCGAGTATTGAATTGTAGATTTTCAGGTTAGGTTTTTCTTTGAATCTTGAAACTAAGTCAAGAACATTGATTACTTGTCTGACCATTCGAGCGTTGCCTAACCCACGGATGATGGTTATGAAGACAGTATCGTCTGGGGGTGAGCCGATTGAGCTGGGCATTTCATCGAGCAGTTGGTGGATGGTGTCGAAATGACGAAAAGTACAGAGCTTGTGGACAAGAGCTCTGTAGGTGGATTGGGTGTGAGTGAAATGGGGGAGTTTGGACGCCCATCTGAAGGTGTTGAGAGCTTCCGATGCTGACTTTTGATCTAATATGAGGTGGGAAATCTGGTCATGAGTGGGAACAGGGGAGGTTATCGGAATGGATCTTGATTGGGTGTTGTAAAGTTTATGATTTCTTTTTGACCTGAAGAAGATGGATAGATTCTTTGACGAATTGGAGAAAGTGATCATGAATATATCAAATTCAAACTAAACAAGAGCAAATGACAACCGAAGAGGGAAGAATCCTTAAAAACTAAAATTCAACTCGTCATATGATCTAGTCTTATTTTTATACAAATAAATTGTTGGAAAATGATCATTTATTGTGATTAATCCATATTTCACTTTACAACACCTGATCACATGGAATAATTAAGTCAAGACGACGACTCTTTATAGTCTATATAATAATACGTATACTGTATACATGCTGAACCATGTCTACATTCATCAAAGTGTCATCATTTTCCTCTCCAATTATCACTTTTTTTTCCAAATTAATCTCATGTCAACATTTTCTCCACATTTTAACAACATTCAAAATTCATTATAAATCAAACGCTCATCTGAAATTCTTCTCCACATAGTTTAATTTCGAACAATTAAGCTTCAATTTTTGTAAAGTTCGATACTTTTTTTTTTGACTGATGGATTTGTTTGATTTGGTCAATTCGTTCATCGAGAAAGGCTGCGGCGTGGTTGTTGATGAAGAAATCGGAAGAATCGGCGACGATCATAATCCCGATGACGATGAAGATTCTGATGTGGTGGAGAATACGATGAAGGATTCGCTGAAGAGATTATTTGCATTTGAGAACGGTGATGAAGCAAGGAGAAAGGCTACAGTAGAAGTCCATAAGGCATGGCGGCGCGTGATCGAAACTAACTCATCGCCGTCGTCGCCAGATCTAAAATGGCAGTTGATGACTCAGCTACGTCACCAAGGTTTCGACGCCGGTACACTTTCTTTCCTTATGATACATTTTGGCTACCATTTTCATTTTTCTCCAAAGTTGAACCTCTAAATTTACAATATTATATTTCATTTAATCCCTATCCCACAAATCATTACAACAATACTCCGCTAGATTTAGGATTTTCAAGCTCTCGAGAACATGATTTTGGATTCAGATTTTCTTTTTTAATTTATAATGTATTATCGAACTGTAGTCTAATCATGGTAAATTGAAAATTTCAGTTGAAAAATATGTCAAAAGAATACCAGAATGTATATAATGTTTTTGATATTTTTAAGATAATTAGTTTGAGAGTAATTTGTGGGATGTTGTTAAAATATTAGTTATTTGTAAAATATTTTATTAAAATAAAGTTATGAAACTCATTTGACCTGTCTATTTCACCATCACCAAATAAGTAAAATACATTGTGATTATCTTAAAGTAAAATAGAGTGTTTATGTATCTATTTTAGGAAAAATACATAAAAACAACTATATATTTTGACTATTTAGCGTTTTAACCATTATACAGTCACCTAATTTGATAATTTTTTCTATATGGACAGTTTGACATGCTATATTACATTAAAGTGGTTATAATCAAACGTTTTATCAAAATATAGTGGCTTTAATGGAATATTTAGTACCAAAGTTTGATTTTAATTTTTCACTAAAGTCGTTAAACTTTGACAAAATTTTATACCGTAACTATTTTAATCTGTTATATCAAGTCATGGTATGTCAAAGTGGTCCACAAAGAAAAACATCTTAAACTTACGTGCTTTTGTTTGACGAAACTGAAATACAATTGTTAAACCTCAAACTTTGACAAAAATTTATATGACTTTTACGTAATTTGCCTTTGTGTTTAAACAAATTGCATATGAATATGTAGGACTTTGCATATCAAAATGGGAAAGGAATGACAAGTTTCCATCAGGACTTTACGAATACCTTGACGTTAATATAAATGGGACCCGCTACATGATTGACATATTGATAGCAGGAGAATTCGAGATAGCAAGACCAACTAAATATTACGTTTCATTGTTCGATGTTTTCCCTCAAATTACAGTCTGCAAAGTCATCGAGCTCAAAAAAATTGTGAGAATAATGTGCGATGCAATTAGACTCTCTATGAACCAACAACAAATGCATGTACCACCATGGAGAAGACATGAGTACGTGCATGCTAAATGGTTCGGGTCTTATAAGAGATTAACTAACACGTATTCAACTAAAAGTATTACAGACTCGAGTGTAGATAGCAAAAAAGTTGTAAGTTTTTTGTCATTTTCGGAACAAAATTGCTATTCGAGTTGAAGAGAAGAGTTTGGTGGGAGGGAATTTTGTTTGAAAGTAGGTAATTTGGCCATGGTTCTGAATGGACCAATGTTAATGTAATTTTTAGGGGATAAAGAAGTGATTGTATAGTGTAAAGAAAGGTAAAGTATGGATCTAAAATGATTATTGTGATTTAAGATCATAATAATCAGTTTTTTAGTATTTAATAAAAAAGTGATTAATTTGATTTTTTTTATTAATGTTGTTGAAAAACCACATGTTAAGAATAAGTAATATTTCATCATAAAAAGGTTGAATGTTGTATCTGAGAATACGTTCACAATAAATAGCCATTTCTTAACCTTGGGCGTCTTCGACAAAATTAGCTGGTAGCGGATAGCTTGTAGCGGGTGACGGGTAGCTTGTAGCTTGTAGCGTTTTGTTAAACGCTAGCATTTGGATTTGGAGCGTTTTGTTTAAACTAAACGCTAGAAGCTTGTAATGCCAAACAAAGTTTTCTGTTCAAAACGGGGCGTTTTGTCAAACGCTAAAAGCTAGAAGCTCTCAAACGCTTCCAAAAAGCTCCGTGCCGAACACGCCCCTTATAAATACATATATGTAGTTATGTACTGTGTACAAACTATTTGAGAAATACAGCATAATAGCATGAAAGACATAATATTTTGATATATTTTAAGGTAAAATCTAACACTTTTTACAATTTAAATCAAATGCGTGAATCAACATTGTATGCTTATTTGCATCAAAGGTACAATATTTTTACTAATTTTTTTAATAAAAAACTTAATTTTTTTTATTAGCTGATGAAAATCGTTAATGCCGGTAAAAACTAAAAAGGGTGAAATTTTTTGAAAAATGATTTTTATTTTAATCGTAAAAATGTGAATTTTTTTATTAGCTGATGAAAATCGTGGGTAGAGACGTAGAGTATTTGGCATGATATTTTGAGGATACGTTGAATGTGGTAGGAGGGATCACTATCGACGGCTCTTATTCACGGCACCACGGAATAGTCTACATCTGCCCGTACCTGATATTTACCAATATATAAAACACTGATACAAATGTAATTTTAGAGAGAGAGAGAGGGACCACGCCTAATTTGTATACGGAGAAACAGAAAATCGCCGACCAATCTCCGACCACCGATACAACCACCGCCGATCCGTGCTAATAAGTCATATATGGAAGGTGTTGGAGCTCGACTCGGCCGATCCTCGACTCGCTACGGACCGGCTACCGTGTTTACAGGTCCGGTAAGGAAGTGGAAGAAGAAGTGGATCCACGTAACGCCTACCAACACATCCGGAGCCTCAAACAATAAGCATCATCATCATCAACATCAATCTAACGGAAACTCTTCTTCTAATGGCAACAATAACAATGCCTCAGCCTCTCATCTTTTGCTTTACAAATGGACGCCAATTCGTCAAACTCAGAACACCTCCGCCAACAACAACAATAGCAATGGCGACGCCAACGAAGACGGTGGTGCCGCCGAAGTGGACGAAGAGCCGCCCCGCCGTAAGATGAAATACATTCCAGTACTTTTCTATCACCTCTCTTCTGAATTTTTTTATTATTAAATTTGACTTTGTTCGATCTAAACTTTAGCTTATGTTTGTCCATATGTGTGTATATATAATATATTATATTTGAAGAATACGTGGATCTAAATTTGAAGAACAGCTCAATGCACATATATCTAGTTGATATAGAATAGAGTATAAATTCGTATAAGAAGAATCCAATTTGTACATGAGAATTTGTAGCCCTAGCTTAAGTAACAGCAACTTGTAATCCAAATTGAATCCAAAGTGCACATCAGAATCAATTTCCAATCCTTTTTCTTAAGTTTAATCTAATAACACAATCTAAGGTTGCTATGATTATAGAACTGTTTTAACTTTTTTGTTTACTTTCACTTCAATTTGAATTATCCATGGTTGCCAAAGTATGTTGTTATTGGGGGTTGTTTTATTATGTGTGATGGTTGATCAATGATCAGATAGCTATACTGGAGGAACAAAATAGTGAGGAACCAGAGGTGCAGGCTGATGAAGATAAACCTAAACCTGTTGAAAGTGACTCACTTGCTGCTGCAGATGATGAATCATCTTTGAAGAAGGAAAAACCTGACATCAATGATATGCCAATGGAAGAGAATCAGGTAATGTTCTGAACTCAACATATTGCATTTTTTGAAATTCAGGGAAATGAAAATGTATTCTCAGTCCTTTGATACTGTTTCAGGTTTCTGAGAATATTGATGTAGAAAGGGAAGACCTGAACAAAAGCAATGTGGGTTTAAGCTTGAATTTAAATGAAGGTGAAGGTGATGGAGATGGAGATGGAGATGGAGGTGAAGAATCTGAAGAAGCAAAAGATGAAACTAATGATGATTGATTGATTGGATAGACTAGAGTGAGTAAAATAGGTACACAGGATGGATGAATTGTTTTTTTTTAAATGATTCTACTAACTCAAAGAAAAAAATGATTGTGAAAAATTCTGGAAATGAAATTTTATCAAAAGTGATGAACTTTGACTTTTTTGGTACTAAATTGGTAAATTGTAGGATGTTTGAACTTTTGACCGAATCCAAGTGTTTCTGGACTCGACTTGAAGATTTTATGGGAGGATTTGGTCCTTTTTTTTTCTTTTGTTTATAAGAGAAATGAAATTAGCTTGTGATCAAAATACAAGGAAAATTGAAGATTTTATGTATGTGAGGATTTGATCCCACATCAAAAGTTGACTGAAAGAAATGATAGATGTGATGTATTTAAAATGTAAAAGGAACATACAAATGATCCTAAGATGCTACCAAAAAATTACATACTAAATAAGTTTATAATTATTAAAAATACAACCTACATCTTAGTTAACCGTTTATAAGTTATAACAAAAATTCAAACATCAGTTTGTATCAAATCTATTATTGGCGATATGTTGCAGCAACATGTACCAACCAAACTCCAATATGCCCATTATTATAGTTTGTGTATAGGGAGGTGATATTGCCACGACTCTTTTTTATTCATCTACGGATTTTAAACTATATTGACTATTTTGCCCCTCATTTATATGGCCTTCCCTTTCTCTCAATCTTCCACCTAAATTAAAAATCACCAGAGTATAGGATCTCCATATCGCTTCATGGGGCTGCAACAATCACCGCTCATGACCCTCTGTTTGTGTTTGCAGATGCCGTCGTCGGCTATTCTAGGGCTAGCTGTTACACCTCCTTGGGTTTATTCGTCATCTCATCTCAGGCTACTGTATATCTATCTGCAATTAAACTAAGTTTTCTGTGAAATTGTATGTAAATTTCATAATTTTTATGTAATAGTGAATGTAGAGTAGTAGATATTGAGTTTTAAATAGCGAATTTTGTGGATGTTTGAAGTTTACTGTTTAGAAATCAGCCCCCCTTCGTAATTTACTGGAATGAGGGACGGACTTGATGTCTGATGCTTTGATTGTTTGAAACTGAAGTTAGAAGTGAGACCTAAGTGAGTGAGGAAGATGGGCTAAGGACAGTGGTTTCAGCTGTCAATTTACTTTAAAAATCCGTGGATGTATAAAAAGATGTTGTGGAATTATCAGCTCCCTTGTGTATAATTGACAATTTGGATACTTGAGAATAGGAATTGGAACATGAAAGTGTATATAGGAATCAGAATATGGAAATGTATTGAAGAAACCAAATTTGTTTTTTTTTTTTTTTTTGAGTTGCTTCCTGATTCTTTTCTTGAGTTTCTTTTTTGTTCTTCATTTGGTTTTTAGGATTTTTAGGTGTGACAGGTTTCTTGGTGGCCCAAGGGAGAAAAAAATTTCTATTGTTTTCACTTTACCTTTTAGTCTTTTATGGTTTAAAATTTTGCCACATGTTTTTTTTTTTTTTTTTTATTTTCTTATTTTCCACTTGTCGTTTTTTGAGTTTTTCATTCTTATATTAAATTTCCAGAATTTACGGTTATATATATGGAAGGGTCTCATTCTATTCATGTAAGGTTATCGTTTTATTAATTTGAGAATAAAATCACATAAATGGTACAAACTCATTGATTTGCTTTCTTTTTTCAATTACTTTATAAAATGTTTAATGTTTACATATTGATATTAAACTTTTTATTTTTAATAAACTTGTGTGGTATACGGGTCTCACACCTAGTAAACATGAAATAAAATTGAAGGTAAATGAGTTCTAACCTACTGTCTGAATTCATATTTGATGGAATTGTAGGATCGAATTGAATCCTGATTTACACGATCCCAAATGTGATTTTATGCTAAACTCAATCCTATTACAATATATATATATATATATATATATATATATATCTTTTTTCATAGGTATGTTTGTAGGATTCTATATCTGAATCGAAATCTTAACAACATTTCCAAGCAGATAACCAAATAAATCGTTGTATATCTAAGGGGCAGGCCGGCTGGGGCAGACCTATGTGGATGTTACTAGCTCTATTACCACTTAAATTTTTTCAAGAACAGTAAAATATTTCGATTTTTTTTTTTTTATATATAATTACAACTCGAAAGTAAATTGGGCAGTTTTTTAGTATAAACTTAAAAAGCCTTTTAAAAGGTTTATTTACCTACATAGCCCAACCAAAAACAAGCCCAATGTCCAATCAAAACGGCCCAAGAGGTTTAATAGGCCACTAAGGTAACTGAGATTGAGGTGGGAGCTTCTGGGAAGAAAGAAACAAAGCGCTTCTGTGCTCCACCCAATCGCGATTCACCCCCTGTTAGAGACTCCGCCCACTCCCGTCTCCCTAAGCTTTTTCCGGCAGATTGCAGAGCCACTGCCGGCGTCTGGTTGCTCCAAACCTCCGGCGACTTCCCTCTCAACCTGCAAGAATGAACCAAGTAAGCATTGGTTATTTCAATTATTTGTCATTTTATTGAAAACTTGAAATTAGCAATTAGGCTTATTTTATTAGGGTTAGTATTTAGTTATTACTTTTTGTTGATTAGTATTACTTTCCTCTCAGGTTTCAATAATGAAACAAGTAAACATTAAGCAAGTTTAGGGTTATTTCAATTGTTTGTCATTTTTATGAAAAAACTTGAAATTAGGAGTTAGGTTTATCTGATTAGTTATTACAGATTTCTATTTTATTTTGGGCAAGTTTATCTTATCTAATTTTGTCTAAAAACGCATGATAAGGTGTGTATTCTAATATTGTTCGAAAATTGTTTATTAAAGTTTTTAACTTTATGTTTGCTCATGTCAGATAACCATGAACCACGAGTCATTTAAATGCACTTATTCAAAGTCTAAATTGTCCGTTGTTTGTTAGCCACTTTGGATTTAGGAATAGACAGATACAGTTTAAAATCGGTCCAGAAGGTTGGTGATGAGAGAGATGAAAATGTAGGATCGGAATTAAAGCTGGAGAAGATGGATAAACAATTTTTTAGACATTGTAACTATTATGATTTTGGATGGTTGGTTTTGAATATCGCAAACAAAACCTGTGTGTGTTATTGCTTTCCAAAATCAGGAGGATTTATAGCATTTTGGTTGCATACAATTGAAAGGATTTGTGACCTAGGCTATACTTTTATTATATTATAATGATTATGATCATATTATATAGCAGTTTCTTTCTATTAATTCAAACACTATTTTCAATTAATTTATCCGGTTAATTATCCAAACAGATTTGCCCTTGAGAAGATCGTGCAGATTTGGAATAGAATGACCATTTCCTTGAGCAAATATTATTATTATTATTATTATTATTATTATCATTTCACAAGTGTTGCTTGAAGTTAACCAGACCTTGTTGTAAACTGCAACAGCATGCAAAAGCCTGAGTTTTGAATAGAGTTAGAAATCATCATGGATTCACAAACCCAAAATGCATCACTACAACGCCTCCAAACTGTCGAAAAGGTAATATATAATACATTGATTGATTAAAATTTAAAATTAAAAATGAAAAGTAGTTTAACAAAAAGAATTGATTTGTTTTCAGAGGATTGTTAGAGTATTGGAACTTGCTGGTGGAGTGATGGAAGAATTCTCAAATCCTAGTGGACCAAGGAAGGAATTGGTCAACAATCACTGCAGTGAATTCATGCAATTAATCAAGGTTTTCATGAACACTCTTTTCTTCTTATTTCTTTTTGACTTAATACAGAAAGTCAGTGAAATGATTGATGCCTCATAAACTCTTTTTTAACCTTAATACAAAAAAATTTCTCAAACATTATTAGGATATACAAGTGACTTTAAGGGAAGAAATCAAGAGTGCATGCGAATATCGTCCATTTGAGAAGTGTGATTACATATCAAGAATATCAAATGAAATATGCTGCCAAAAAGTCCAATATGTCCTTCAAAAATTGGATGGAATGACAGAAACAGTCGATGAATATCATCATGCAGCCTGAATTTTTTTTTTTTTTTTTTTTTTTGAATTGGTGGCATGCATGGAGTAGAATTTAAACATGAAATCTGATTACAACACTGTAATGTTTGTCAGTTTTGTTTTGTCAAATCGCTTGTGTCTTTTTCTATATTTCGCTCCAAATGCAACAAGTAAAAATAATAATAATATAAAATGAGGGTAAAATGGTAATTTTACAAAGAGTCAAACCATTGATTGTCATCATTTCTCTCGTGCATCCAAAACAATGCTCATTGTTGCTTCACATTCATCCTTGCCATATTTTAGTGTTATACATGTTATGATCTCGAGTGACAGTGGTATTACTATTTCATTGTCCCTTGTAGATGGTGTACTTATCTACTAAAATATTAATTTTACGTGTGCTATCAATATCAAAGTTCACTTTTTTTTTTTTTTTATTTAGTATGTGACGTACATATATTTCTAGATTCAAAATGTCACAAAACTTTGGATGAAATTAGATGAGATTCAAATATTTATCCAATAAAATTAACAAACATATATTAAAAAGTCTTGTAAGGGGGTGTTTGGCCAAAAGACTTGTTGCTTATTAGCTTATAACTTAATAAGCAAGTGTAGGATAACTTATGAAAAAATCACTTATTAAAGGTTTCCGACCGGAATAAGTTATTTTCATACAAACACTCCCTAAATGTTAATTTTTATAAGTAAAATATATTTTTAATACGTATTTAAGATATTATGACTTTTAACATCTCAAGAGGGTAATACGATTATTAATACTCTTGATTTAAAAAAGAAAACAACATTTTGCGGTATACAATAACATACATCATTGTAAATTAAAAATGAATATTAAGAGGGCATTGGGAAAAGTTGCAACAGATGTTAAAAGAAAATTATAAAAAGTTGCAACAATGGTTATAAAATAATTATAAAGAAACAAGGTTCTATAGAATATATACAATAAAAATTGTAAAAAAAATGTTTTGAGTATATTGTAAAAAAAAAAAAAATCTTAACTTATCAATATGCTTATTTGAAATAACATTTTAAAAAACTTGTTTATATACACCAAATACAGTGTGCTAATCATTGAAAAATATTGCCACAAAATATCTCAATCACTTTTGGTGGATTCTTAACCCCTTACATACAAAAAGATTCATCTAAGCCGAAATTTTATGCCTCTTAGACCAATTTGATTCCTTGGTGTTATTTTTGTTATCGTGAGCATAAAAATAATTACAAATATTCCCAATCAAACAATATGCCTAACTTTTCTCAACTTATATTTTATCATATTCCCATCGGTTTTTTTGACTTGGTTATGATTCTTTGGGCTCATCATCATCGTAAGATGATTATGAATGGCTTACAAAAGGTTAAAAAGCTTCTAGTAAAAAGACAAGGAATATAACAAAATTAAAGGTATTTTTTCACCTGGGTTGATATACACTTTATATTGCATGATATAAAAGCTGTTACAATTTGATAATTGTTGATTGTGTTATATATGATTGAGTCAATACCTGATTGAATTAGACCTAACTTTTATCACACTTAGTAAAACACATATCAAATACCATCAAAAGTGTCTGGATCTAACCAAATCAGCCTTAGTAAAAGCAACCACTTATACTTAAAAATGTGCTACGTTCTTATCGCTTACAGATATAGCATCCATATCCGGTAGTAATCAGCTATGCTTTTCTCAATACTACTGTTCAACATTTATTGCGTAAATTACAAGTCATCCGATACAAGTAAGATTCTGTAACCTAAATCAAACAAATTAAAATATGTTACCTAAAGCAACCGAATGAAAATAAAATATAGTCAATTATTTTATCACATTAACCTGAAAGTAAAATAATGCAAAGACGTGAGACTTTTCCCTTTGTTTTCTTTGGAAAGGGGAACAACTATGTCCTTGAGCAGCTACTTTATGGTATCAAATTCATTTCAATGTCGGATTATACATTTTATATTTTATATGTATAAGAAGACGTATGACTATTAGCTATAAATACTTAAAAGTATTCTTAATATTTAAAAGATTTAAGAATCAGAATCTGTATCATTGATATCCTAAAATACTAATTCGTTTTAAAAACAAAATAATGATAAAAAATCAATAGCGATAATTAAAAGGTTATGGAAGTGATTTGAATACAAGAGTGTTTATTCATACGTAATAGTTTTATGATTTATAGAGTTGTATAATACAACATTTTAAAGACATATTGTTATATATAAAAGAATTTGTTGTGTACGAATCAGCTCCTAAAAACTATTAACGAGACTTTCACAAAATTATGATGTATAAATTAACTTTTTTTGCAATGGATGATGATTCATATATATAACATTTTTAGTCATACATAATAACAATGCATGTTTTATAATCATTTAATACATGTACTTTTACGTATGACTAAAAAATATCGTGTACAAATCATTCGTTTTTTTTAGTTGAATATCCAAATGATTTTCAATACAAAAAAAGAGTTGATAGAAATTATAAACCCAGATAACCCATTCTATTATGATGCCCATAGCTAAAATAAAAAATAATATAACTACTATCATAACTAATTCATAAGAGTAAACATGCAGAGTGTGTTAGGCATTGATCTTTAAAATTTTTTGAAACTTTTAGTTTAAGGTTTTAGCTTTTAAAAAAAACTCCAATTAAAAAATTAAAATTTGTTCGGTTCTACAAACTTAAAGATTTTATTTTAAACAAAAAATATCATAACTTTAAGCTACTTTAAATAACGTTTAAGTAAAAACTACTATGTAAAAACTACTATGTTGTGTTTAACAAAACTAGTTTGTTGGAAATTGGTAGCTGGAAGTTGTAATCTGCAACTTTTATTTGTTATATATAAATGTTTGACAAAAATAGTTGAAAACTTTTGAAATGTATATAATTATATAAAAGGACACGTGTCTAAAATAAGGATCACAGTAGCAATTAAGATTAAAGATAATTCTGGAAATTGATATATATATATATATATATATATATATATATATATATATATATATATTAAACGCTACATGAATTTGCTTTTAGATTTGGATTTTTTTGTTTAAACTAAAAGCTAATAGTTTGTACTCACAAACAAAACTTTTTGTTTAAATCCATTTTTTTTGGTTAAAAGATAAAAAGTAGAAGTTAAAAAGTTTGGTGTCAAACACACTCTATATATTGAAACAAATTTAATAGACAGTAGGGGTGGAATTGATACGTTACTAATTCATTTTTCTATAAACCGTATACCGTACCAACTATAATTGGTAAAAAAAATTGTTGTCGGTACCGTACCAAGTATATTTGGTACCAATATATTTGCTTACCAACAAGTTTGGTTGGTATAAATTGGTAATGCTATATACCAACTTTTTTTTTTATATTTATTTTCTATTGTAAGATTTAAAAATAAGTAAGACATTGTGTAATTTTGATGTTTAGTATAGAAATTAATTACGTAGTTCTTTTAGTTTACAAAACAATTCTATTAAAATAATGCTAAAGTAACGTTTTCATTTTGTGTTTAACGTGATAATAACTATCGACTAATGCGACCAAATGAATTATATAATGTTCTTAAATTGTAAATACTAAACACAATTAACAATTGCAATATACGATTTCGTTTATATTTATAATTAATTGGTTACTACGGTATTACCATGATATTCTAACTTTTGTACCATTATTATACCACTATTGCTCAATTGGTACGGTACTACCAGCCAAACATGTTGGCTACCAAATATATTGGCTACCAACTTTCTTAGTTCGGTTGGTAACATGTTGGTTGGTTTTTCATGTTACAATTTTGTCAGCCCTACTAGATAGCCATTAATAATCATTATTATAATTGTATACATGTTATTTTATAGATTCGAAAAGATTTCATCTATTTTTACCGAACACTAATATATAAATAAAAACTACAAATTTTATTTTTTAACTACCACCTACTAGCTAACTTAAGTTTGTCAAACATGCCCATTATATTATAATACAAATTCATTCACATATTTTAATATTTTATCAAAATACTTATAAGAGCATCAATGTAACTAAAAAAATTCGTTAAAGATCATTTTTCTGTTTTATATTGGTGTCAACTAGAAATGGCAATGGGATAACAGGTATATCGGGATTGCATACCTCATCTTAAAATTGAATCCATGCCTCCACCCCATCCTTGACGGGTGATAAAAAAATGTCAATATATCATCACCAACGAGAGATTAGTCGGTATCATGTGTTGTTCTCCTTCTTTGAGGTTGAAGGTTCAAGTTTTGTCGCGTACATATGTGGATTTAAGGAGTAGTTTAAAAGTATATTAGATTTGTCGTTAAAAAAAATCATTTGATAAAGACAATTAATTGCAACTTCTAAGTAATAATCTAATACAAATAAAAAATAAAAAAAATAGAAACAAAAACAAACAAACAAAACATCCTACAATAAACTTAAATGATAAATTTTTTGGTTTTTTGGTTAAACGTTCATGACAATTAATGTGAATCGTAACCAAATCAAAAACGGATATTTTAGTAGTTCAGTTAACCAAACTGAAAAAAAATAAAAAAAATCCAGTTTGGTTAACCGTCGATGACAAATAATGTGAATCGTAACCGAACCAAAAACCGAATATTTTAGCAGTTCGATCAACCAAACAAAAAAAAAAAGTCAATATATCTGGTTTGATTAACTTTAAAATCACTACGATTTATCGATTTTAGGTATGGATTTTTGGTTTCATATTTTGTAAACCCCAATGCCCCAATTTGAGCATGTTTCCAAGATTTCCACAAACCCTTTTAATGAATACGGCATTTCCTCTATATATGGTCTTTTATAATTCTTTAATGCCTTCCTACATATAGGGTCTTTTATAATTCTTTGGAGACATCTTCAAATTTAGCAATAAAAATAAAACAAATTATTGAAATTGTTCACGGGGTTGTGAAAAATTATTATCTTGGTCCCTT